ACCCTGTAGAATTCCTCAAGAAAAGGTTTGGTGGTAACAATAACTTTGAACAGGCTAAAAAGGTTTACGTCAGCCAAACCAAGAAGAGCCCTGAACACAAGGAAGGAATAAGAAAGGCATTCAACGATCTATTTGAAAGAGAATACATGGTTCCTCTGGATAAGATGCCTAATAGAATTAGAGATTTGGTGAAGAATGCAGCTGTAAATCACTATTACCCTTGGTCCTCAGTTGCCAAGAATTCAGTATCTACTCCTGTTAGGATAGTGGTAAATCCAAGCCAAACTGGGTTGAATCTCATCCTAGCTAAAGGATCAGGAGGAGTAACAAAGATTGTGCCAATTCTATTACGATCAAGATGTTGTTTGTTCACATGGACATCGGACATCTCCAAACTGTATAATCAGCTTTGGCTTGATGAATCTGATTTTCCATACTCCCTGGTATTATACCATGAAGACCTTGATCCAGCCACACCACCTAGAGTATATCTAATGTTACGAGCTTGGTATGGTGTGGTTAGCACTGGAGGTCAAAGTTTATATGCTTTGAGAAAGCTTGGCCTGGAGAACATGGCTTCCTATCCGTCCGGAAGCCAAGTTCTGCTCAATTCTTCATATGTTGATGATCTACTTCCAGGTGCTAACACTGAAGCAGAAGCAGAACTACAAGTTAAAGAAACTATTCAACTTCTGAAGCTTGGTGGATTCAGTCTTAAATTTGTCTGTAATTCTCAACAAAGCCCACCAACTGAGGCATCTACTGATCAAGAATCCGTTGGAATTCTTGGTTATGTCTGGCATCCTCTTCAAGATACTATGTCTCTTGGTGTTTCTGATCTCAACTTTAACATTAAGAAAAGAGGAGCTAAAGCTGATAATCCCTTCCCTGTTAATGATGAAGAATCAGCTGGAAGGATGGTTGATCTACAAGCCAAGATCACTAGAAGAATGTGTCTTGCTAAAACTGCAGAGGTTTGGGATCCCTTAGGAGTACTAGAACCTATCAAATCTAAGCTTAAAAGAGATTTAGCTAACCTCAATGGAATGGAATGGGATGATGAAATTCCTGCTGCTGATTTTCCAACATGGAAATCAAACTTTCAGATGTTTCCAGAGATTAAGGAGCTGAAATTCAAAAGGACTGTTGTTCCAAATGACTGTGATTTGACAGCAGAGTGTAGAATCATAGTTGCCTCAGATGCAAGCGTTGATACTGCTGGAGCTTGCATCTACATTGGGTTCAAGATGAAAAATTCCACATGGTCAAATCAGCTTCTCATAGCAAGATCAAAGATCTGCAAATTCTCTATTCCTAGAAATGAGCTAACAGCATTATTTTTGGCCACAGAACTTTGTTATGCTGTATGCCATGCTCTCCAGCCTCTGAATTTAAACCTGAAGGAGATATTGTTCCTTACAGACAGCACAATTGCTCTGTCCTGGTGTTTTATGAGAGATAAACATCAGAAAACCTTTGTACACAACAGAGTCTCATCGATTCACAGATTTCTCAAGTGGATAATTGGAATTATTGGTGTCAAACCATGTATTAGCATGATGCACATTCCTGGCGCACTTAACCCTAGTGACATCATAACAAAGGGAAATCCAGAACTAGCAGACCTTACTATGGATTCAAAATGGCAGGGCAATTGGGATTTCATGAAGAAAGACATAGCAGACATGCCTCTTACTTCTTATGAAGACCTAAGGTTAACAGCTGAAGACCTTGATGACTTGAAAGCTGAAATTACTGAACATGTTCCATTTGGAGTTAAGAATGCAAATATCCTGCTCAAGTTAGAGCATTCATATGGGAAAGCTCTTGCTGATGATGCTACTGAGACCAATACTGTACCTACCTACTCTGGTAATCCAGATGGTCAGCTTCCCTCCATATTCTTATCATTGAAAGTGCCAAGTAGCAATAACACATATGTCATTGATCCTATACAATATGGATGGAACAAGGCAAATACCATCCTTGAGTCTGTAGTAGATATTGGCTGTAGATGGATTCATAGGACTCACTCTAGCTTGAAGTCTTCAAACCAGAAGATTAAAAATTCCTTGAAACAAAGATGTGTTATCTGCCAGCTAATCGCAGAGATACCTGTTGGAGATGGTGAAACTGCTAATGAACCTGATGATACGGATGAAATTACAAGAATAGTCAAATATGCAAGAGAGAAAATTGTCAGGATATATTTTGATGTCATGGCTACCAAGGAATGTATGGGAACATTAACTAAGAAGGAGCTAGAATTTTATGAGAAAAATGATGATGGAATACTTTTTTACAAGGGAAGAATTGGTCCAGAACATACATGGTCCACTATGGACCTCGACTACCTAAATCTGGGATTTCTTCAGGATGAAGAAATACAATTCAACAACCCATGTGTCTTAGCATCCTCGCCTATTTTTTATGCATATGCTATGTATGTTCATTACAATCTCTTGCCTCATTATGGACTGGAGAAAACATTGAAGAAGATCTTAGAAAGATTTCATGTTATAAAACCTAGAAAGGTTCTCAGCAAAATCTTGTCATCATGCATCAAATGTCGGCTGGAGCAGAAAGTCTTTCTACAACAGGAAATGGCTTTACACAATCAAGTCAGATTTACAATTGCTCCACCATTCTCAGCAATCATGTGTGATATTGCTTCACCCTTCAAGGTTAAAACTAGGTTTCAAGGTAGACAATCCATGAATTGCCCAGCCTTACTAGTTGTGTGCTTACTTACTGGTGCAACTGCTGCATACATCTGTGAATCTGAAGAAACACAATCAGTTGTCACTGCCTTGGAACGTCATTCGTCTCGCTATGGAACACCATCTTCTATATATGTAGACTCTGGAACCTCCATGAAAAAGCTGGAAGATATGTCTTTTTCATTGAGAGATATTGAAGGCACTGTAAAAAAGAAAATGAGATGTGATCTAATTGTGTCTAAACCTAAGAATCACAGCGAACAAGGAAGAATTGAGGTCAGGATAAGAATTTTCAAAAAATTACTTTCCTCCTTGGGTGAGAAGAATAGCCTATTATCCTTTATTGGATGGGAAACCTTATTTTACAAGGTCTGCAACCACATGAATGATCTTCCCATTTGCAGAGCAGATGGGACTTCTGTTAATGCTAAAGCTGGGGATATTCTCACACCTAACCGACTTCTCCATGGAAGAAATTTTAATAGAAGCATGAACACACCGTTTTACTTGGAAGGCACCAAAACACAGATGCTTGAGAAAATCAATTCATCCCAGTCTGATTTCTACAAATTGTTTATTGACCAAGTTCCCAGTCTCATTGGAAAACCTAAGTGGCCGAAGTCCTCTGAAATCCTTGTCAATGATATCATTCTTTTTTTCCTTGAGGAATCCAAGATGGGAAAAAAATATATGGACTGGCATTATGGGAGAGTTCTGTCTATCAAGAAAAATGCTATTGAAATCCAGTATACAGTTGGAAATGGTGATGTGAATGTTCTCTCAAAACCAAAGAGATTAGTTAGATCCAGACGAGACATTGTCAGAATCGCCTCTGAATCTGAACTGGATTTTGGAACAAAATCTCACTACAACAAGACTTTACTATCTGAATAAGTATCTTCAGCCTGGTATAGATAAATATTTATAAGTTGCTAAATCTAGTATAATAGACTGTGATTCACTTTTAAAGATGGGTTTACAGCTTTATTTCTAGCAATAAACTGTGATCCACTTTATAAGCTGGGTTTACAGATTTATTCTTATAACCAATTTTCCTGCAACTTAATTTTCATAATAAACTGTGGCCCACTCTATGAGCTGGGTACACAGCTTTTTATTTTTTTTGAGACAAAAGAAGGGAAGCAGCAAATCGTTCTCAAATTGGATGAGGGAGCAGCAAGATTTGTGAAGAGTTTCCTGGCCAAGATCAAGAAGAAGAAAAGCAAGAAACAGTACCACCATTTTTCTTTTTTTTCTGTTTTTTTCTTTTTCCTTGTTTTTTCCCGGCAGTGTTCTACGAATTAATAGATGTCGTATTCATAGAGAGGTTGTGTGACTTAACTTCCGGGATTTGGCTTTCACCCGTTAATATCTCTCGTGTTTTACAAATTTTCCTCAGTTTAATATAAATTGTGAAACAGTAATAGCCGGAAAAAATTAGAATTGTTCTGGGACATAAACCCTCCCAGGTGGTTTTAGTTTAATATTAAGCTTTCAATTAGTAATGCTGCTATAAAAATAAAACACCATTGTATGTGCCTTAGATTTATTTATGTCATCCAGTAGACATACAGTAAACAAACAGAAAACAGATTCTAAATACAAGATTGATTTGATAAAATATAAAGATTTATGACAATAGCTAAAACTTTAGCAGTGACTTATGCCTCAATGAAGAGGATAAGCACTGTACTTTAACCTTACAAGCTAATAACTCCAATGAAGAAGTTATAACATGAAGGTTCTTTCAACAATTGCTCAAAATGTAACAATGTAACATGCTCCAATTAAGGGGATGCACACTGTACATTTAGCCAAACAATACAAATAACTCCATTTAAGAAGTTAATGAATGTTGACTCTTTGACTGGTCCCTTTAAATAAAAAGAGGGAACGGTCCCTTTATTGCTGTAAGTTAAAATACTTCAGTATATTTAATGCACTGAGGAAAGAAAATATTAGGTTTAAAAAATAATATAAATTTCCTCACCTAATTTTTTCCGGCTATTACTGTTTCACAATTTATATTAAACTGAGGAAAATTTGTAAAACACGAGAGATATTAACGAGNTATTATTATTATTATTATTATTATTATTATTATTATTATTATTATTATTATTATTATTATTATTATTATTATTATTATTATTATTATTATTATTATTATTATTATCATTATTATTACTATTATTATTAGTATTACCACTATAATTATTATAATTATTATTATTTATACCATTTTTCGATTTTAGAATTTATTACAAATGTTATTTTCAGGGAAGACCCTAGTCCTCTTTGCTAAGCTAAAGTCTCTGGTGGAGAAGGGTCGGAAGGTTGTGTTTATCAGCTGCTTGCTACCTTATGAAGCTGTTCCTCCAATATATGAAGTGATTATGAGAAAGAAATTAGAAGAGTTCGGAGACAATATCAGGTTTTACAGTGCTATGGATATATGCAGTGAGATGGATGTTACTGATAGAGAAAGGAGTTCTTATGAGATGGGGGTTAGAATTGAAAATTATGCTATGGATATATGCAGTGAGATGGGGGTTATATTGGGAAAAACTGAGAGAGAGAAGAGTTTTTATTCAGTGCTAGCTAAGTTTATTCAGAACCTTCCAGAGGAGTTCAATACTCTACTCATCGATGAGTTTGGGGATTATTTGTCTTTGGATAAATTGTCAAAATATCAGAATAGCAGGTATGATGAAGAAATGTTAAAAGTATCTGGTTCCAGGGCTGCTGGTATTGAAGGTAAAAAGCTTATCATTTCCCTCCATCCTAGATGCAAGATTGATGAGAGTAAACTGAAAGACCAGGGCTATAAGATTACAAAGTTGAAGTATGTAACGAGGAATACAGCTTCTATATGGAAATATGATAAAACTCTTTCTTCTTCATGGACATATTATAAAACTCTTTCTTCTTCTGAGAGTGATAGTTGGACCTCAACAGTGCTAGGTCTTCAACCTGACTATATAACTGGTAGTCTAGATAAGGATTTCTACAGTAGAATAGTTGTAGAAGTTTGTAAGAAGAGTAGAAAGTTTGTCTGCCTTATTCAATATGGTTTAAGATATGATGATAATCAGTTTAAGGCTGAACTAGTAAGATATGATAATAATCAGTTTAAGGCTGAACTAGTAAGGAGAGGAATAGAAACATTTGAATACCTGTAAGTAGGAGATGAGAAGAACCTGGATAAGTTTCTAAAATCCCAGGAAGGATGTCTCATCACTAGATATGAGCATGCTAGGGGGACAGAGAGTACTACCCTCCTAGTCTTTGATAATATTAATAAAATACGAGATTCTAGAATATTAGAGGAACTACACACCTTGTAGTTGCACAACTAGACACTGATAATCTTCCTTTTAGTGTAAAAGAACCTGAGCCAGGTTACATATTAATGGAAGGGAATGAACATGATCCTGTTGTCTACAGTAGTCTGGTGGATAAGATGCTGGAGAAGAGTGTGGAGAGATATATACTTATTTACAACTATTCAACTTATTTGCAACTATTCCTGGATGCACTAGCGAGGAGAGGTCTACCCACTCCAGTAAAGAAACCTAGAACTGTGTATTCTGTGGAAGATATAAAAACACATCTCCAGGAGAATATATCAGAAGGTATTATGTATGATAGGCGGGGTATTAGAGATGTTTGTTTAGAGTGGATTGGAGCAAACAGCAAGATACCCATTATTTACATGAATTACCTGAATAGTTGGGATAAACATATTGAACGTATTCGTGAAGGAAACCCAACTCTTTTTATCCATGTTGAAGTGGAAATATAGTTGGACTAAACAAGTGGAAAGGATATTCAGGATATCACAGAAAATCATGGCAAAACAAATAATTCAAATATTGGGATTTGGAAATTTTGTCAAATAATATCTTTACCCTATTTAATCAATATTTATATTTTCATATCTAAGATATAAATGATTTGATATATTTTGAAATTTTATCATACTGTTGTTAACCATTAACTTTAAGACTCCGGATAATGTCATCTTCAACGTAAAATTTCCTCTCGGAGACAGGCCAAACCAAATTATTTCAGCCCGCATATTCTTTGTTCTTTGTCCCACAGAACTTCAACCATTTTCGTTATTGTGAAATCATTAAAGTTAAGCAAGAATATTTTCATAAGAAGCATTAGTGAATTTCGTTAAATATTCAACTGTAATTTTTCAGAAGTTAAAAAACGTATTTCAATACTGATCAACAATAAGCCACCCCCGACCATCCCTAAATAATTCGTAAGATTTTTTCTACTATTAATATTCATTATAACATTGTACAAGTAACCATGACCTATAATTTATGTTATTTTTTTAGGAAATAAAGATTTTGTTATCGAATTTCTGAGACGGGGTTACTCTGTTGTGTGTA